GGAGGAGGAGGAGGAGGAGGAGGAGGAGGAGGAGGCCAGGTTAGTAAGAACGAAACAGCAACATAGTCTCCCTTTCATTTTTACTTGTCCACAGAATAACATGATAGAATTTTTTTTTTATTTAGCAAATTTTCAATCATCAGCCTTTAAAAAAGATCGTCTCTCTCTTTTTTTCTCTTTTGTTTTTTCTTCTTATTTTTTTTTCTGAGATGGGATTTCTCTGTGTGGCCTTGGCTGTCTTCGACACACTTTGTAGAACAGGCTTGACGTGAACTCACAGTGATCCATCTGCTTCTGCTTCCCTGAATGCTGGGATTGCAGGTTAAAAGAAAGTCCATTTTTTTATAGTTGAAAACTCAGGGACATTTAAAAAAAATCCACCAATAGATTTACTTAAGAATTCAAAACTCTCCTTAAACTCTCCTTAATAAGCATAAAATACAATGTCCTCATTCTGTTTCTTATGCCAGTACCATGCAGTTTTTATTACTATTGCTCTGTAGTGTAGCTTGAGATTAGGGATAGAGATACCTCCAGATCATTGTTGTACAGGATTGTTTTAGCAATTCTGTTTTTTGTTTGTTTGTTTGTTTTTGTTTTTTCATATGAAATTTAGAATTGTTCTTCCAAGTTCTGTAAAGAATAGTGTTGGAATATTGATGGGAATTGCATTGAATCTGTAGCTTGCTTTTGGCAGGATGGCCATTTTCACTATGTTAATCCTACTGATCCATGAGCATGGGAGATATTTCAATCTTCTGATATCTTCTTCAATTTCCTTCTTCGGAGACTTGAAGTTTTTTCAAACAGGTCTTTCACTTGCTTGGTTAGAGTCACCCCAAGGTACTTTATGTTATTAGTGGCTATTGTGAAGAGTATATTTTCTTTCTAGGTCCTTTTGTCATTTGTATACAGGAGGGCTTCTGGTTTTTTTTAGTTAATTTTGTATCCAGCCACTTTGCTGAAGGTGTTTATCAGCTGAAGGAGTTCTCTGGTGGATCAATGGAATTGAAAAGAAGATCCAGAAATAAACCCACACAGCTACAGATACTTGATTTTTGAAAAAGAAGCCAAAACCATACAACGGAAAAAAGACAGCATCTTCAACAAATAGTGCTGGTCTAACTGGATGTCTACATGTAGAAAAATGCAAATAGATCCATGTTTATCATCCTGCACAAAAGTAAAGTCCAAGTGGATCACAGACCTCAACATAAAACCAGACACACTAAATCTGTTAGAAGAAAAAGTGGGGAAGAGCCTTGAACTCCTTGGCACAGAAGACAAGTTCCTGAACAGATCAACAACAGTTCAGGTTCTAAGATCAACAATCAATATATGGGACTTCATGAAAATGAAAGCTTCTGTAAAGCAAAGGACACTGTCATCAGAACAAAATGACAGCCTACAGACTGGGAAAGGATCTTCACCAACTCTATATCTGACAGAGGGCTATTATCCAGAATTTATAAAGAGCTCAAGAAGTTAATAAAAAACAACAAATCAAGTAATCCAATTAAAAAATGGGGTACAGACCTAGACAGAGACTTCTCAATAGAGGAATATCAAATGGCAGAGAAACTTTTTTTTAATTTAATTTAATTTTATTAATTACACTTTATTCACTTTGTATTCCCCCATAAGCCCCTCCCTCTTCCCCTCCCAGTCCCACACTCTCCTCCCCCATCTTCACGCATGCCTCTCCCCAAGTCCACTGATAAAGGAGATCCTCCTCTCCTTCCGTCTGATCTTAACCTATCAGATCACATCAGGAGTGGCTGCATTGTCATCTTCTGTGGCCTGGTCAGGCTGCTCCCCCCTCAGGGGGAGGTGATCAAAGAGCAGACCAATCAGATTATGTCAGAGGCAGTCCCTCTTCCCATTACCATGTAACCCTCTTGGACACTAAACTGCCATGGGGTACATCTGTGTAGGGGTTCTAGGTTATTTCCATGCCTGGTACTTGGTTGAAGTATGAGTCTCTGGGAAGACCCCTGTGTTCAAATTTTCTGGTTCTGTTGCTCTTCTTGTGGGGTTCCTATCGGAGTACATAGAATCTTATGTAAGAAGTGGGAAATAATAAGATCTGGAGAGGAGAGGAACCCCACAAGGCAGAGAAACTCTTAAAGAAATGTTCAACATCCTTAGCAGGGAAATGCAAATCAAAATGACTCTGAGATTTCACCTTATATCCATCAGAATGGCTAAGATCAAAAACTCAAGTGACAACACATGCTGGAGAGGATATGGAGAAAGGGGAACCCTCCTCCATTGCTGGTGGGAATGTAAACTTGTACAACCACTTTGGAAATCAATCTGGTGCTTTCTCAGACAGTTAGGAATAGTGATTCCTCAAGATCCAGCTATACCATTCCTAGGCATATACCCAAAAGTGGCTGAAGTACACAACAAAGACATTTGCTTAACCATGTTTATAGCAGCTTTATTCATAATAGCCAGAACCTGGAAACAACCCAGATGTCCCTCAATGGAAGAATGGATGCAGAAACTGTGGTACATTTACACAATGGAATACTACTCAGCAATTAAAAACAAGGAAATCATGAAATT